GTCATGCCATATGGACTCGCTTTAAATCACTTATCACTGATGTCCGTCATCCCTGCCTAGACTTATCAGCATGTACTATATTAAAACACCTTGTAATGATGCCTTTTCTTTGTGTGGTACTGCCAGTTCACAGATACTGTATAACATATCACTGTTGGAACAAACCTTCTCTCTCCATTTTAATTGGAAAATAAAGGTTGTCATTTATATTGTGTCAACTTTTCATGATGAATGGACCAACAGACACTGTGAAAACATTATTTAGAATAAAATCTTGTTACATTAACTGACATTGAAAATTAAGAACATTCATCCCTTCTCCAGTGAGGCCACATTTCTGGAGATACGACATTCCGATTCACCTCCCATCATCACTGACTTCCATTAAGATGGGTTCTAACCAAATCACTATGGACCATACTAGAACACTCTGTAGACTCTTTGCAAGCTACTGCAAAGTCCCTCAGAATTCTGACTCATTAAATTTGTCTGTAGGTTTGCCTTTCAGCTCTGATTACTCTGAAACATTCCCTCATGTTTTTGCCCTTTTGGATTTATTTGTGTTCTGTAGTTTTTGACCCTGGGTGAAAATCAGTTACCGCAGCTACAATCTGCTGGAATACAGAGCCAACATAAAATCAATTACTTCAGGACGACACTGAATGTGTTTCTCACAACTAATGTACAGATATTTTAAACCACATTAAAGAAGTCACTTGTTTTTTCTAAATACCAGAGTAAACTTCACAAATCTGAGGTACTGAAATAACTGCAGGAAACTTTTCTAAGTTCTAAAAAATCCACTGAATCAGAGATTTGCTCTTTTGTGTGAAATGGTGCTCCACATTTGCAGATCATCCAGACTCTTTATTCCTCTCTGATTTAGATTTGCTGACGTCTCTCAAAAGTCATTTCACCTCCACTTTCAGCTCACTATGTGACCTTTAACACACAGGCCTCGATTTCACTTGGACAGAATGAGCTCCTGCAGAGGGAGCTGGAGTGAGAAGAGCAGGATTCAAGACAAACCAATGACCTGTTTCCTTTCAGACCAGTTAATCTCACTGACCACTGGCATGGAAGGGGGGGTGCAGGGGCACAAGCACCTGCCCCTTTTCGTCTCAAAATTAATAATGCCCCTTTTGACGGGCTCTAAATGTTTAATATGTCGCTGAGCAAAACCTGGGTAAAACTTCAAGTTGTCCCTGGAGGGCAGAAAGAGTTCAGTCGCTTCTGCAATTTCATACAATGGCTTTAAATCACCAGGCTGACCACAGTGCTGCGGTTTCTCTGCTCAAACGTTTTTTTTTTTTGACTGCTGCTTTTCCCACGACAGCATAGGAAAAGGAACATTACCATAAATTCTACAACTCTTGAGACTGTGAAGGATGTCACTCCGTTTTGGCAATAAATATATGTCATTATGAAATGTCCACATTATAGACGCAATGCAGTCTGATACTAATATAATGTTTAGATATCTTAAACCACATTATAGAAGTCATTACAAATTATCATTGAACTGAAATCGTTCTTCAGAAGATTGAGGTAATGAAAGACTGCATGCCACAATGTTCCTAAAGCACTGAAGTCCTGTGAGGTCTATTTGTGTCATCCAAACTCTTAGACCTAAAAAAATCTTAGAACTAAAATGTTCTGGTAATTCCATCCTTCTTTCTTCATTCACTTTCACATCTCTTTTTTCTCAGTGCTCTATGAACTTGGGACTTGTCACTGGAAGAACTCAGTTTCTATGGTTCAAATTACATTTATACACTTTATACACAAGTTATTTATTATTTTTTGTAGTAAAAAATGTTTGAATACTAATAGTAGTTGTAAAGAGTCTGTCTTTTTACTCGTGCTGGTGTCCTAGAACAGTTTGGTTACTTCACTAAGAAGAGACCTGTGGTATTACTAAGGCCTGGAATTTAAAAGTGAAAAGGATGAGTGAAAGAATCCACAACCTGTGATCACTACAACTATGTAGTCATGCCATATGGACTCGCTTTAAATCACTTATCACTGATGTCCGTCATCCCTGCCTAGACTTATCAGCATGTACTATATTAAAACACCCTGTAATGATGCCTTTTCTTTGTGTGGTACTGCCAGTTCACAGATACTGTATAACATATCACTGTTGGAACAAACCTTCTCTCTCCATTTTAATTGGAAAATAAAGGTTGCCATTTACATTGTGTCAATATTTCATGATGAATGGACCAACAGACACTGTGAAAACATTATTTAGAATAAAATCTTGTTACATTAACTGACATTGAAAATTAAGAACATTCATCCCTTCTCCAGTGAGGCCACATTTCTGGAGATACGACATTCCGATTCACCTCCCATCATCACTGACTTCCATTAAGATGGGTTCTAACCAAATCACTATGGACCATACTAGAACACTCTGTAGACTCATTCAAGCTACTGCAAAGTCCCTCAGAATTCTGACTCATTAAATTTGTCTGTAGGTTTGCCTTTCAGCTCTGATTACTCTGAAACATTCCCTCATGTTTTTGCCCTTTTGGATTTATTTGTGTTCTGTAGTTTTTGACCCTGGGTGAAAATCAGTTACCGCAGCTACAATCTGCTGGAATACAGAGCCAACATAAAATCAATTACTTCAGGACGACACTGAATGTGTTTCTCACAACTAATGTACAGATATTTTAAACCACATTAAAGAAGTCAAGTTTTTTTCTAAATACCAGAGTAAACTTCACAAATCTGAGGTACTGAAATAACTGCAGGAAACTTTTCTAAGTTCTAAAAAATCCACTGAATCAGAGATTTGCTCTTTTGTGTGAAATGGTGCTCCACATTTGCAGATCATCCAGACTCTTTATTCCTCTCTGATTAAGATTTGCTGACGTCTCTCAAAAGTCATTTCACCTCCACTTTCAGCTCACTATGTGACCTTTAACACACAGGCCTCGATTTCACTTGGACAGAATGAGCTCCTGCAGAGGGAGCTGGAGTGAGAAGAGCAGGATTCAAGACAAACCAATGACCTGTTTCCTTTCAGACCAGTTAATCTCACTGACCACTGGCATGGAAGGGGGGGTGCAGGGGCACAAGCACCTGCCCCTTTTCGTCTCAAAATTAATAATGCCCCTTTTGACGGGCTCTAAATGTTTAATATGTCGCTGAGCAAAACCTGGGTAAAACTTCAAGTTGTCCCTGAAGGGCAGAAAGAGTTTAGTCGCTTCTGCAATTTCATACAATGGCTTTAAATCACCAGGCTGACCACAGTGCTGTGGTTTCTTTACTCTGTTTCTCTGCTGTTTTTCCCATGACACCATTGGAAAAATGCAGTAACATTAGCATTGATTTTACAACTATAAATATATATATAAGAAATGTTATTATGAAATGTCCACATTATAGAAGCAATGCAGTATGACACTAATATCAAGACGACGTGCTTGGAAAGTGAAGGTTTATCAAAAAACAATGAAGCTTCATGGCCTTTTAAATTAGCACTATACCCAAGTTTGACCAAAGCTTTCCTGGCCAGCTGCCTGACTTCCTATTTGCGTTAGTCACAAACTCACTGACCTTCGCTGTTACACCTTCTGTTCTTCACTTCTTATTAGACTTTTTTGTCCTTTTTTAAGTGGTGCAGCAGTGACACTCTGGCAGCTGTACAGGTGCAGCGAATTGCTGCCCGATTAAAGGTAGGATGAGGAATTCAAATGAGAAATAGGCAAAGCAGCTTTGTTGCAGTGACTGTAGTCATTCTCAGTTTACCGAACTCTCTTTGTTTTCTGACATATTACGCTGAATCAAAGTCTGACCACTGCCAGAAAATAAAATCTTTAAATCTGCTGCCGTATATTGTTTACATTGCAATAATTACAATCACTGTGGGGCCTCAAATGGACACATAGTCCTGATCAGGCAGATAAGAGGAGTTTTCATAGCTTTTAGCTCTTTAATATGTTTTGCTTAAATCTTGGTTAATGATCATCAAGAACTATATCAATATGTTAGGATTATTGAGGAAGGTTTGATATTTACAATTGAATTGCTGGCGCATTTTAGAAGCATTCTGCAAAAAACAGATTAATAAAGTGATTAAATATTACATTGTGATAATGTTTATTTAACAGGGCATTTATTAAGATTAGGTCTGTTTTTGGTTCTTGAGACAAGAAAAATGTACATTTTGTTTGTATAATTAAAATCAGATCTGCATACAGAATAGCACGGTATTAGAATAATGTTGTCTATAATGGTATTTTCATGTACTGAAAAAATCCCAGTATGACCTCCCCCACAAAATGCCCTTTTGAAACACCTCAGCCTCACTTTACCAAGTCTGCACCCCACTGTCAGTGACCATACAAGGCAGGATGTGTTCACTTCCTCCTTCACAGGTCTTACATGCCACTAACTGGTCACTTTGCTTGCATCCACAGTGAAACAATTTTATATCCAAAGTTGGGCTGATTGTCTAAGGCTACAATAATACAACATTAAAGCCTGGATTCAGTCTCATCAATATAAATCTGGATGATGTAATTATAGCCCTGCGGAAACTATAAATATAACTGAAAATATAACATTTGAAGGTATTTCCATTTAGGAGGTGAAGGAATGAATTGGTACCACACTGCAAATGTTTAATTATGGACTAAATCTAAAGTACATCAGTGCTATTCCATTTTTTGAAACCAGTTAATGACATTTCCCAGATGATGTCTTTGATTGGTTTATATAATATCTTGCTGACAGACAACATTTTACTCTAATGTAAAAAAAAAAATGTAATTGTGTAAAATGAAAAAAATGTAATTTTTTCACAATTCTTGTTACCTATGGTGTGCCCCAGGGCTCAGTTTTAGACCCCTCCACTTTGTGATATATTTAAGCTTGTGATATACTTAAGAGTAGCAATTTTCTAACCACTGTGGTTTTAGCATTGTAATGCAGATGTATGTGAGTTTAACCTTTCAAGGACTGAATAAATACAAACTTTCTCAAAATCACTGTTAATACGTTTTTGCATTTACTTTGATGGTACAAGTGTGACATTTTCACAACTTCTTCAGAATCTTCTATCAGAAAGTGTTTCATTAGGTCACAACCTGACATCTACAAAGCAATGAGTTAAAGTAGCTTTGTAAGTGAGAGCATTGTGGGAACTGTAGTTTTAGAGTTCTGTGCTACCAATGTGTGCGTTTGTCCAAAGCAGCAATATAACTCCTGACCCACACAGAGTCTGGATCCACACACAACGTCTTTCCTTTTTTAGTATGAAATCTGCAGGAGAGGACAAACAATAATTAAAAGCAGGAAAATAATCATTTTACTCAAAAATGAAAACATTCATTAGAGATCATGCTAAGGTTTAGTATTTACAGTATAAGGTATTTACAGTTGTATACCGTTTATTTGTGGAATTTATCATATTAGGAGAAAAATGAACATAAACTGTGGCCTGTGTAAAAGTTATGGCACCTTTTGTATTGTTTTATGCTAAACTCAGTAAATAAACTGAAATTGGATGCCATATTTAAGTTTGTTACATGTAGAGAATGTGCTAAATTATTTCTGCTTATTTTCACTTAGATCATTACTACTCACATAATGGCTTTAGTATGGCATTCATCGGGTGTCCATGTGTAGGACTCCACCAGGTCCAGAGGGATCTCCATGTTAGTCCAATGGGGACAGCAGCCACACAAACAAGCTGGAGCTGCAGGGATCACAAACACCGCATTTAACACCACAACCTCAATACACAGATACCTGATACTCTTTGTGATGAAATTTGCTCCATCTTTATAATCTATAATAACACTGACAGTAACACAGCTCAGTGTGTTCAGTCCACTCACCACTAGAGGTCAGCTGGAGAGAGCAGAGCAGCAGCAGCACCAGCAGAGCAGACAGGATCCTCATTCTAGCAGAGCGTCTGATTTCAGCCAGAGAGACGGAGCTGGAGAGAGTGGAGGGTCTTCTGCTGTGTGTTGTGTGTCAGCACACCTGCGTTTCTGCTCTCTTTTCTCTCTACTGCTTGTTTGCTCTCTCCCTCTCTGTCTCTCTCTATAGGTTGAGTGAGCTGTCATTCATCGTCAGATGCATTGTCGGCCGACCTATCAAGCCCTGTGTTGCAGCAAAAGGGGTGGAGGCCAGTTTAATTTTTACCTCTGTTCTGGCTGTATTTTTACAGAATTTCACCCGTAGTCTGTTTGTGTGCAAGCTCTCTTTCTCTCTCTCTCTCTCTCTTTCTGTCTCTTTTTCTCATGCTGATCCCCTTGGATGGAGAACAGGCAGAGTTGAGCAGAACACTTTGAAAATGTAGTGATGGCTGAAAACTGAATACACTGTGTTTAGCAATGTGTTCCATTACAGTGTATATAAAGTAATCAAAATATATTCAGAATAAGTTCAGAATACTTTCAGAACACACATTGATAAGGCAGATTGGAAAAACTCTTTTTATTTAATTCACTCTGTTCCTCTCTGACACTGTTGGCAGTTCTCTTCATGTAATTCTTTTCTTAATATGTTTCATGAAAAATCCATTGATTTAAATGAAGTTACAAAATTCCCAACATATAGCTTTGCTGTGGGGACTGTGGTCATTCCCGATTAAACTCTCCTTCAATCCCTGCTAGAAAATACAATCTTGATAAAGAAATGAAAAGCCAGGTAAGTGGAGTTGAATAGCTTTTAGCTTAGGATGACCAGATGTCCTCGATTTCTGTGGCGTCCATGTGGTTTGTCATAATCGCGTGTTTAGCAACTAGTCAGTATCAAGCTGGCCCCATCTGGCCAATCATGTACCTGCACATAAGGGGACACACAACAGGGGAAAACACAAAATGCCAACACAAGGCACATAAAAGGTATATTACAACCAGGGGTCATAACACCATATAGGATCACTTCCCATCACTCTTTGCTGACTTCTGTCGCTGCCCAGACCTGCCTGCTCCTTAGACTTATCAGCATTTACTATGGGAAAACACTGTGTAACCAGCTTTTTTGTGAAGTATTGCTGATTCCCAGACAGGTCTAATCCATAAACTGTATAACAAAGAATTGCTGCTGGAACAAAACCTTGTATCTCCATTTTTGCCATTTTATATTTTTACAAGCTGTTGCAAATTCCTGGACAATTTTGACTTATTGTAAATTCCTGTAGTTTTGCTTAACAGCTTGAATTACTCTAAAACATTCCCTCATGTTTTTGCCCTTATTTGCCTTTCGTATATCCTTACACTTTGCTGTAATTGTTTGCTATCCAGTGTCGACCAGAGGAGGATGGGCTCCCCTTTTGAGTCTTGGTTCCTCTCAAGGCTTCTTCCTCTTGCTCTTAGGGAGTTTTTCCTTGCCATTGTTGCCATTGGCGACGGTCATGGGAGCTCGGACCTGGATTTTACTGTAAAGCTACTTTGTGACAACACCTGTTGTAAAAGCACTTTATATGTCGCTGCTGTTGGAAGAAAAACCTCGTATCTCCATTTTTGACATTTTTCAGTTTTTTACATAATTTGAAAATGCCTGTCATCCTTTACATTGTGTGTACATTTCGGGAAGAATGGAGCAAAAGAAACGGACTAAAATGACTTGGAAAAAATTCTGGTTCCATTGACTTACATTAAAAGTAAAGTAGGTTTTTTCCTTCTCCTATAAAGTTACCATTTTGGAGATACAAGGTTTTCTTCCGACAACAGCGAAATAAACCTTGTTTTGAACCATGAGTGAAAATCATTTACCATAGCTACAGTCTGCTGGACTACAGAGGGTGACACTGTATGTGTTTGTCACAACTAATGTAGAGGTATTTTAAACCATGCTATAGAAATCATTCTGTTCTATTATTCTATTATCATTTAATTTATTCTAATCACCAAAGTAAACTTCAGAAAATATAGAGGTACTGAAAGTGGACTGCAGGAAACGTTTCTAAGTTCCAAAAGAATATTACGCAACAGAGATTTCCTCTGTTGTTTGAAAGTTCTCCCCACATCCAGACGTTTGGTAATCGCATTTTCCCCTTGATTTAGATTTGCTGACATCTCTCAAAAGTCATTTCACATTCACTTTCGTCTCACTATCTGACCTTTAACACACAAGCCTCAATTTCACATGGACAGAATGACCTCCTGCACAGGGTGCTAGAATGAGAAGAGCATGATTCAAGACTAACTGATGAACTGTTTCCTTTCAAATTAATTATTCTCAGTGACCACTGGAGAGAAGAAGGGGGTGGGCCACAGGGCCTCGAGCCCCTGCCCTTTTTTGTCTCAAAATGAATGGTGCCCTTTTTGATGAGCTCTAAATTCTTGATATGCTGCTGTTCAAAACCTGGGTAAAACTTAAAATTAACCCTCTACTGCAATTTAAAAAATATATCCAATTCACTTCACTTGCATAAAATTGACCTGATTATTGAATTCAAACCATTTTTTAATAATAGTGTGTGCAGGGGTCCTTAGGTGTATGTTGCCTTGAGGCAACATTGTGCGACAACTGGATGAAATGATATACACCCATGCTCCCTGGAGTAGTGAGACGTGGCTTGTGACTGGCTAAATACATTCCACTGTCGCACAATGTTGCTTCTAGGCAACAAACATATTTCTGCAATTTCACATAACTGAAAAATGATACTGAATGTTAAAAAGAGGTTTGAAAGTGCCCACGAAGAGATAGTATGACCAAATACATGCTTTTTTTACTGAGTTACTCAAACTCTGCCCTTTATTGTTAACCCTGTCAGTGTCCTTAAATATGTATAATGTTTTTGTGAAGTAAGGAGAATGTTTGTTGCCCTGAGGCAACATCATGCAATAGAGGGTTAAAAAAAAGAAGAAGAATGAAAACAAACTCTTTAACTCTATTAATTTTATCTACGTTTTTCAGCATTTTTCACACATTTTAGTAGCGTCTGCTGCCAATTTTTGGGGGGTTTCCGATCTTGCTAGAGGGATGTTCCCAACACAAGATCCATGATAACTGGATTTCTGAGTATCCTCTCAAACCTGAAACCGTTCTGGTGATTCCTTCCACTTTTCATCTGTCCCTTTTTCTCAGAGCTCTATGAGTTCAGGAAGTCCAGTCTGACATCACTGAAAGAAAGAGAATTCTTTTATTCTACTTTCTCAAAGTTTTTCAATAGTTTTCACACATTTTAGTTGCCTGATTCAGGGCATCCGTAGCCTTTTGAGGGCCCTAAGCAGGATGTGCTGAAGCGCAGCGCCAATACAACAAATATTGTGCCACAAATATTTAAGGGATCTTTGGGGATTTTACAAACCACTATTTTGGTATAACTTTTATACAGATGCAAGAAAAAGTTTGTGAATCCTTTTGAAATTACCTGCTTTTGTGTATTAACACATCATAAAATAAGATCTTCATTTAAATTGCAATAAAAAACAAACACAAGCTGTTTAAACTTATAACACAAAAATATTTTTTTTAATTCATCATTCAAACATTCACAGCTAATGACTTTAATAAAAGCTTATTGGAGTCAAGAGTTAGCAAACCTGGAGTACCACCAGTGAAATGAGACTGATGTGTGGGTTAGTGCTTTTTATAAGAAGCACTCAACCTTTTTGAGTTTGCTATTCGTGAGAAGCATCCACTGATGCGAACCATCATTTATGAAAATTGATCTTAGAAGATCAATAATTGTTGATTTGAATTAAGCTGGAAAGTGTTGCAAAGTGATCTTAAAGAGCGTAGATATTCATCAATCTACAGTTAGACTGTCTACAAATGGAGATGATTTAGTTCTGTGTCTACACTCACTAGAAGTCACCCAGCCAACACTCACAAGAAGTGGACACCCAGCCAAGATCACTCTAAAGGCGCAACACAGAACACTCAGTGAAGTAAAAGAGATCCCTAGAGTCAGAGCTGGTTGCTCACTATGCTACATAGGGCCCCGCAAATTAGGCAAGGGCCCTGCCTGTGGCAAAGCTGCTTTTTGTTTTCACCATTGCCATGCTTGTTGTTGTCTTAAACTTTTGACTCTGCACTGCCCTCTGGTGGATGTACTGCTTAACACCCACGCCAACATAAAGAATGCATGTGAGTATATGAGCAGTGATGGTTACATCACTGTAAACGTAAAAGTAATGCTTCAGCAGCCGCAAAAGTAAGGGAAACGGCATGGCAAAAAAATTACAGACCAAGTTAATGCGTGAGTTATTATTAAATAATATTTAAATAAAACTATGACACAATTTAACATTTAGCAAATGGATATGGCAAAAATAATTTAATGTGAGTTGTAATAGTTGTCTTTATTTTTACAATGTTTTTTCTTTTTTTGTTTACATAATATAGGTGGAATCCAAGTGGGGTGAAACGCACATGGCAGCAAATAAAGATGAAATATGAAAACATAGAGCAAAGTGGTATGACCTGTACATAACTACCTAATGTTCTTACTTGTAACCAGCTTGGTATGGCTTACAGCTGGTTAAGGCTTTGTAGCTAATAGGAAAAAGGCAGAGGCACGGAAAACAGGAGGGGGACCTCCTCCGCCGCCTTTCACCCAGGCAGAAGAGCTGGCGCTGTCACAGAACAGTGGCTGGCCTATAACTGATGGAATCCCTGGAGGAAGCTCAACAGAGCCAACAACCCCCCAGGACATGACTGTTTATGTTAAAGCTATATTCACCACATTTATTAGTTATAGTGCATAAACTGTGGAATATTGAGAACTGCATTTATCCGAACAATTTTAATTCCATCTCTCCAGTGATAGGCGGTGTGGTTCAAGCAACGAGCCTCCTGCAGTTGTAAGTGATCTTAAAGTCCCTAGATCTTACTTGAAGGTGTACAAATACCTTTCTTTTAAACAAAAAAAATATTGTTTCAGGATGAAGAAACTGTCTCTGCTGCCTCAGAGTGGGATGATGCTCTTGGGAGGCCTATGGATGTACAGTATACATTGCATATGTTGAATATATTGACCATGGCATTTCATGTGATCCACCATGATGATGTGTGACTGCCCTCTTACAGAACATGGCAGGAGATGTACAGCCTAATGAGGGACCATCAACATCCAGAGCTCAGCTTGTCTCACCAAATAGCTGAAATATTTAG